CTCTTAATGTAATGAAACATATCTAAGAAAAATGAATGAATGAATGAATGTTAGAAGGAAAAAAGAAAAAGACTCATAATTAATGGCAAAATTATAAAAAATATTCTCTTTAAGTTAGAAACAAATCCATAATGGTCAGTATAGGTGTTTCTATTCAGCATTCCAGAAGAAGTCCTAACAAGCATATTAGATAAAAAATAGCAATAATGAAAGACTTGTAGGATTAAAAGAAAATAAACCTAATTGTCATTTTGCCAGCGACAGGTTTAACTACATAGAAAATCCAACACTATCTATTGACAGATACTAGAACTAATAAAAGTAAGCAAGTTTCATGAATATAAGCTTAATATTTTTACATGATTGCATATATTATCAAGGGACAACTCAAAAATATGTTAAGAGGAATCCCATTCATACAACAACAAATCAATGTATCTAAGATAAATGTAACAAAAAATGTGAAAGACCTTTATAGCAAAAATTACAAAGCTTTATTGAAAAGCAAACATAATTCGGCTGAGCGTAGTGGCTCATGCCTGTAATCCCAGCACTTTGGGAGGCTAAGGCAGGCAGATCACGAGGTCAGGATTCGAGACCAGCCTGGCCAACATGATGAAACCCCATCTCTACTAAAAATACAAAAATTAGCCGGGCGTGGTGGTGCACGCCTGTAATCTCAGCTACTCAGGAGGCTGAGGCAGGAGAACTGCTTGAACCCCGGGGCAGATGTTGTAGTGAGCCGAGATCATGCCGCTGCACTCCAGCCTGGGTGACAGAGCGAGACTCCATCTCAAATTCGGCGGGGGGTGGGGGGGGGGGAGAAAAAAAACAGCAAAAAGGAAACATAATTCATAAGTAATTGAGAATGAATCATGTTCGTGGATGGAAAGTCTCAAGAGCCCTAAATGTCAAATTCTCTTTAAATTAACATTTAAATGAAATGGAATGTCATCAACATCCTAAAAGAAATTTTTACAGAACTTGGGCAGCTGATCATAAAATTGTTTTGAGAGTCAAAGTCTAAAAAGAGCAAAAATACTACTTTAAAAAAGAAGATTGAGCAATGGGGACTTCGAAGTTTTTGAGTATCTGGTATACATAAAATTTTAATAAAGATGTGTCAAATAAAAAAACAAAATTGAAGCACTCTGTTTATCAAAAGATTTTGTAATAAAAGGTAAAAAGCAAACTATGTAAAGCTATAAGAAAAAAATAAATTTAAAAAATGCAAACTTAAGTGATTAAAGGAGAAGAATAGACAATTTACAGAAAATAAATGGCAGATAAACACAAGAAAATACAGTCAATCTCACTAAAAATTAATAAAATGCAAATTAAAACAGCCGTTAGGTTGGCAACATGGAAGAAGTCATAAAATTATTTGTAAGGGAGGATATGGGAAATAGAGAGATTTAATATGCTGGGGGCATTAATAGAAATTGATATTAGTACTTTGGAGAGCAACTTCGCAATAGCTAATAAAATTGAAGATGTTCATGTATGGCACAGTAATTTCCGCTGTAGGCAGTGCTGCTCACATAGCATCATTTGTAATAGAAGAAATGAAAAACAATCTAAATAACCATCAATAGAAGAATGACTAGTAATAAACTGTGGTACATTTATGGAAAAATCTCAAACATACTGTTGGGTGAAAAAAGCAAATGGCAAAGGGATGCATATGAACACATACTACCCAATACCAGCTTATATTTTATAGGCCCAAGCATATACTACATAATAAAAGTATAAAATCCTACTGAGGAAGTATAAATTCTAACTTCTGAAAAAACTATTCCCTGGAGAAGCGTTGGAAATATAATAGAGCATAAGACTTTAGCCACATCTGTAAATTTTAATTAAAAAATGGAGCAAAAATTGCAAAATATTCATTTTTTTAAAAGATCTAGATGGACACAGAGCATTTATTATGTTCTAATTGATTTAAATATTTCAGTTAGCTGAAATATTTTGAAAAGAGATGTGAATAAGTATATATTGGGCGTAGCGTTTTTTTGGGATTCAAAAATAGCAACTATAGAGTTACAATATATTTCAACCAATGGGTGGTTTGTTGAAGGAAACCATTTTTCATCCCAAGGTGGCAACTATATGCTTAAGGAAAATATTAAATTAAGCATATGTATGATTTTTTTTTAAAGGGCAAACAACTTATTACTTCATTGTCCCAGTTTGCAATCTGGTTAGGATTTTCTGAAAACGACTTCTTGGCTTATTATACCTAAATTAAACAGCATTGTTATATGTTGGCCCTATTTGTCCATATTTTTGAGATATTTTATTTATTCTGACTAATTCAAGTGAGGGTAAGGTGAATTTTTGAGAAGTACAATAATTTTAGATCACATATTAGAATAATTTTGATAATGTATGTATTTGTATATAGATATATTTACAGTTATGTTACTATGAGTTAAAATCTTTTAATTTGTGCAGAAATCCATTTTATATTTGATTATATCAGAAATAAAATACTTCTTTGTGGTTATTATTCCATTTTATTGTGTTGAAATTACTTCTGTGAATTTGTAAATTTGACAAGGCCTTTCACTACCAATTTGTAGAAGTAACTGGAAAGAGTCATTTTTCGATCAACGTCAGTGCCCTTTTTTGTTTCAAACTGCATTATTGAAATATAATTTACATTCGTAAAATTCACCTTCGTTAAGTGTACAATTCAGTGAATTTTAGTAAATTTGAAGAATGTGCAATCATTACTACAATCTGATTTTAGAAGTTTTTCATCACTTTAAAAATAAGCCTCATGCCCATTTACAAGCACTTCCCATGGAAATTTACTTTGTTCCTGCGTATTTACCTATTGTGGACATTTTATGTAAATGAAATCATACAGTATGTGTTGTTTTGTTCTAGTTTCTTTGACTGAGTATGTTTTATAGGTTTATCCTTGTTGTAGCATGCATAGTACTTAACAAAGTAAATTTCGTTGTATGGATTGTTTTCACTTTTTGCCTGTTGTGAATGATGGTATGTACTGTGAATATTCATGACAAGTTTTTGTGTGGACATAGGTTTTTATTTCATTTAGGAAGAGTGGAATTGATGGGTCATTTAAGTTTATTTTTAACTTTTTGAGAAATTGCAAAACTATTTTCCAAAGTGTCTGCACCACTTTACATTTCCTCCAGCAATGTGTAGAGGTTTCAGTTTCTCGACATCCTCACCAATACTTGTTATTTTCTGTCATATTTATTTTAGTTATCCTAGCAAGTAGGTATTGCATTGTCATTTAGATAACCATTTCCCTAAAACCTAATGATGTTGGGCATCTTTTCATCTACTTTTTGGCCATTTTAATATCTTTTTTGGGATAATACCTATTCCAATCCTTTGCCCATTTTTCTGTGTTATTTGCCTTTTTATTATTGTGTTGCAGGAATTCTCTAAATATTTTTGATACCAGTCCTTTATTGGTTTGAAACTATTTTCTTCTATCCCATGAGTTATATTTTTCACTTTTGTAAAGAAAGTGGTATTTTTCTGGAGAGCAGAAGTTTTTACTTTGAATAAGTATTATTTAACAACTTTTCTTTATCACTGTGTTTTTGGTGTTGTATATAATAAATCATTTCCTAACCCAACATCATAAAGATTTGCTCTCAAGTTTACCTCTAAATAATTTATTTCTTACATTTATGTCTGTGGTTCATTTTGAGCTAATTTTCATGTGTAGTATGAGGTAGGGGTTCAAATTCACTTTTTTTTTTTCCAGGAAGATATCAAATCATCCCAATACCATTTATTGAATAGACTATTTATTTCTCTTGAAATTTCTGCAAGCTAACCATAAATCTAAGGCCTTGTTTCTGGCATTTAAGTTCTATTCCATTCATCTATATATTTATTCTATTGCCAGTACCACTCTGTTTTGATTATTGTAGCTTTGTAGCAAGTTTTGAAATTGGTAAATATGTCTTTCAATTTTTTTTTGTTTTTCAATTTTATTTGGGTACCTTGTATTTCTATAAAGACTAATTTTCAATTTATTCAAAAAAGTTATCTGGGATTTTTATAGAGATTGTATTGAATCTGTAAATTAATTTTGGGAATGTGTATTCTGATCCATGAAGATGGGCTATCTCTCTATTTATCTAGGTCTTTAAAAATTTCCTTCAGCAATGTTTTATGGTTTTCAGTGTATAATATTTTATTTCTTTGATGACCTTTATTCCTAAGTATTTTATTCTTCTTAATACTCTACAAATCAATTTTCTTGCTTAGTTTTCAAATTTTTCAATGCTAGTGTACAGGAATGCAGTCACATGTTCATCTTGTATCCAGTAGCCTTACTGAACTCATTTATTTAGACAGTTTTTTAGTGGATTCCTAGGATTTTCTATCTACAAATTTATGTCATCTGAGAATAGAAACAATTTTACCTTTTCCTTTCCAATTTGGATGCCTTTGATTTTATTTTCTTGTGCAATTTTCCTGGCTAGAAGCTGCAGTATAATGTTAAATAGAAGCATGGTGAAACCCCATCCCTACTAAAACTATAAAAATTAGCTGCTCATGGTGGTGGGTGCCTGTAATCCCAGCTACTTGGGAGGCTGAGGCGGGAGAATTGCTTGAAGCTGGGAGGTGGAGGGTGCCATGAGCTGAGAGCATGCCATTGCACTCCAGCCTAGGCGATAGAGTGAGACTCAGTCACAAAAATAAATAAATAAATAAATAAATATAAACAAAGAAGCAGTTAGAGCAGAGCAGACATCATTGTCTTATTCCTGATGCTAGAAGAAATAATTCAATCTTTCTCCTTTAAATATGAAGTTAGTTGTTGTTTGCCATAAATGAACTTTATCATATTGAGCAAGTCCCTTTCTATTCCTAGTTTGCTGGGGGTTTGTTATAAATGGGTGTTGGACTTTGTCAGTTGCTTGTTTTACATCTATTTATATGATTATGTTTTTTAATCTTTATTTTCTACTGTATTAATGTGACCTTTTAAATTCTAGATCTTCAGTCTTGCTGGTGAAGCCTGCAAAAAAGTGATACTTAATGTACCTTCTAAACTAGAGGCAGACAAAATAATTGGCAGAGGTGAGAAATTTTAAAAGTCTGTTTAAAGCAGAAATTTAGTTTACATAGGCTGGAAAGAGCATGAAAGAGCATACCTTTGCCTTTTGGAGGTAGCCTGAATCTACTAACAAGGGATGTCCCTCCAGGGAGTAAACCAGAAGTTATCATTCTTCTAAAAATGTGAAGATGAGAGAAATATGTTATCAGCCCTAAAGATGTTTATTTTACTTTTTTGCTAAATATTTCCACCTGTGACAGATTTGAATTAATGTGTAAACACGACTCATGGACTGAGCAAATGAATCCTTTGAAAGGTTGTTACTTATATGAGTAGTCATTTATCCATTTGCTTTCTGTTAAGACAAATAGTTGAAGAATAGGATGGATGACAGGTACATTTTGATGTTTATATGCATTTTATTACCCATTACTAGAGGCCAGAAATCCCAGGGAAGAAAGACTCAATGTGGAGTTTCAGTGTGGGGCCCTGGGAAGCTTGGAACACACAGAGTATCGTGGGCCTGCAGGGGAAATTGTGTACAGAAAAGTGCCAGTGGGAAGAAAAATTCAGAGATCAGATTTTTCTTATGTGACTCTTTACCAAACTCATACACTCCATCGCTCTTTGGCTCATGACTTCTCACTAAATATAGGTGTATCTTAAACCCTCAGATTGTATTGTTAGGGAAACTCTTCTATATGTTTATCCAGGTGTGTTGGGGGCATGTAGCTAAGTTTTGTCATGATTATAACATGCCCACATCTTTATCTGGAAGGTCATTTTCATAAGTCTATTAGAAGCATATAAAGGTTTTTAAAACTTTATTTAATAAAAGGTTTATTTAATAGAAATATACAGTTGATAATTATTTTTTAACTGAAAGAAAATGATTATTTTTTAAGTAATGTAAAAAACAGGTTTAGATCTCTGGTAAATGCAAAGTGATTGGCTGATTTCATCCCACTTCATGGTTTTTAAAAAGATTATATACATTATTTTAACACATTTTTTCTTCTCATGTGTTTCCACCTTATAACTTGGAAATTTTTACTTGCAGTTAATTTGGAAGAGTGCTTCAGATCTGCAGACCTCATCCAGTCAAGTGATCCTGATTTCAGAGTTCTAAGTGATGGGTCAGTGTACACAGCCAGGGCTGTTGTACTGTCCGATGAGAAAAGATCATTTACCATAAGGCTTTCTGACAAAAGGAAACAGACACAGAAAGAGGTTACTGTGCTGCTAGAACATCAGAAGAAGGTATTTAAAGTACATTAAATATTTTCAGGCATTTTTTTCATTAAAATACTCTCATTAAAAATTGCAAAGAGAAACAAGGATAAATAGGGTATTTTCCCCTTTTGTTTTCATTTTGTTTCCTTTCCTTTCACTTCGCTTCCATTTTCTTACCCTTTTCCTTCCCTTCCATTTTTTCACCCTGTCCTTTTCATTCCTTCCCTTTTCCTTCTCCTTTCCTTCCCCTTCTCTTTCCCCTTCCCTTTCTTCCCTCCCTGTCACCTTCCCTCTCTTCCTTTTTCTATCTTTCTCTCTACCTCACTCTCTTGTCTCTCCCTCTCTCTCTTTCTTAACACTTGCTGAACTCTGGTTTTGGTTTTACTTTATTAAACCTAAATTATTTCTCCTCTGTGAGGGCTTCTTCCACCTCTAAACTCTAACTATTGTCTTTTGTGCACTGGTGTCGGTTTGATTATCCCTCTATTATAGAATTCAGAATTTTTTTAATGCAAAGCCTTTACAGTGAGGAATGCCATTATGAAAGTAGTCACAAAATGATGAAAGTTTTAGGCTGGATTACACCTAATCTGTGTTAACTGTATCAACAATAAAGCTAATTTAAGTTACAGCTTAGCACTTTGCTAAATGTTTAATGCAATTATTTATTAATTAATTCTCATGAAATAAAATATCTCCCTTGCTGCATCATGAAATGAGATGGACATCACTAAAAAGTCTAATAGAACTTTCTCCCGTGATAGAGACGTGCACTGTCCGCACTGTTTGATATGGTAGCTCAATATTAATGGCTACTCTGCACTTGGCATGTGGCTAGTGCAACCGAAGGATAGAGCTTCTTATGTTATTTAATGCCAGTTAATTTAAATTTAAATAATCACATGACTTATGGTGGCCAAGGGCTACCATATCAGACAGTGTATATAGAGCACTGTGGCAGTGAAGGACATATATTTTCTTTCTGTGACCTAAGGGCATGAGCTTTTAACTAAAAGAACAGGTAAGTGCTATCTGGAGATTGTTGTAGAGAGAATGTGTTCTATATCTCTATTTGGGACAAAGCAAGAAGAGCTAAGCATATAATGGTGATTTTCCTAACATGAAAGTATAGTCAGCGTTAGAATGGTGTACAAAAAGAAATTCTCTGTTTCTTGAAACCTATAAAATCTGGATATATTCTTTCTCACCCTTCTAATGCAGAAAGACTTTATTAACTGGTTTAGCTTTAGCGTGGAAATGCCTGACACTGAACCTCTAAAGAAGGATTAGGTTTATGAGCTGTCCACTATTTTACACAATGTAGACTGTGATGCTTTTGTTTATTTATGTATTTGTTTTTCTCTAAATTCAGGTACTGAAGACAAGACACACTAGAGAAACTGTCCTCAGGCGTGCCAAGAGGAGATGGGCACCTATTCCTTGCTCTATGCAAGAGAATTCCTTGGGCCCTTTCCCTTTGTTTCTTCAACAAGTAGGTTTACATCTTTTCTGGTTAGGATTGCTTTAATTCTAAGAGTCTGTTTCATTGAGATTTAATACCTCTTTAAACATATAAAAATAAACAGATCTGATTAAAGATGTTCATGAGGTGTAACAAAAGTAAAATGAGAAATAAAATCACTAAAAACCTAATAATAGGTTTCCACTGAGAAAGGCTCTAAAGCCATTGAATGATCTTTATTTGTTTATTCATTCATTTAGCAGGGAGTTACTGAGCACTTACTCTATCCTGTGGGAGGTACTGCTCTAGGTCCTAAAGATAGAAGTAAATTTAGTCATGGCCCTTGCTCTCATGTGGTTTACTGGCCTCGTGAAGGAGACAAAAGTAGGATAATAATTACAACTTTTAGTGATGAGTGCTATGATTCTAGTATAGAGCTATTTGGTGATTTGGTAACAAATGAGATGAACATTAAACCCTGAGGTAAGGTGGTAAAAAACAAGAGAAGGCTTAGAGAAGGAGAAAACCGAGTTGAGTCCTGAAGAATGGAAAACTTTTCTGCAGGTGAATAACTGTAGAAGAAGAGGGAAGTACAGAAGTGAGAGCTCCTTAGAGGAGCTCTGGGTGGCTTAGGCTTCCAAGTTGTGATGGAATGGAGCAGGTAGATGAGGCTGAAGAAGGAGGTAGGGGTCAAACCACTATGGACTATGTGCATTCTACTAGTAAGTTTAATTTTATCTTAATAACAAGGAGAAATTCTTAAGCAGATTACTGACATGATCAGGTTTACTTTTCTCATTAAGATCCAAATGGAACATGCACAACTGAAACCATTACTGAAGTAGGCCTGTGGCCTTCTGCTTGTCTTTTTCCCCTTAAATTTCCAATAGTGTACTTGATATTTAATACTAATGGTGTAACCTGTGTACTAATTGTTTCAGTTTTTAACTATCCTTCCACCGTCATTCACACTTACTTTTTATTCTACCCCAGTGCTAGATATTTGTTTATTCTTCATGAATATTATAACTTGAACACTGATGAAGCATGTTAAGAAATGATTTCTAATTGCCAAAGCTGTGCCAATCATAGCTAGTTTTACCCTTTGCTTTGCAAAACCAGTCACCATCTCAGTCCTCATTTCCTTGACATATTTACATTTGACATAGCTGACCTTTCCCTTATTTTGGAAATGTTTCTTTATTTGGCTCCTAGGACACCACTCATCTAGTTTTCCACTTACTTCGTTGATCACTCCTTAGTAGGTTTGGTTGGATCTTCCTCATCCATCCTCCCAGCCTGCTGTCCCAGTCTCTAAACTTTGGAGAGCTCCAGGGCTCAGTCAATGAATCTTATCTCTTGTTTCTTGATATTTACTCTCTCAGTGATCTCATCAGATCTCCTAACTCTAAATACTATTTATACACTGAATACTTAAAACTTGGCATTTCCAGTCCAAACTATCTAATTGATATTAACACTTGGAAGCTTAATAGGGTTTCAAACTAAACTTATGGAAATAAAATGCTTGTTATTTCTCCTAAAAACAGTCATCTCAATTAGCAGAGTTCAATCCTTCTAACTCTCTGGGCATTGGAGTCTGATTCATAAAGTTTAAGCTGCAGAAAACATACTTCTGTCTAAGTTCTTAACAGATAAGGATTTATTACCATTTATTAAAGAGTTTACAGAATTGTCCAGAGGGCTGAAGAAACAAACTTTAGTTGAACTTTCAGGAACAAATCCTCAAGCTAGCTACACCACAGGATCTACAACCAAGGGACATATTGCTTCTCCATGATAGAGAAGACATTATTTCAAGAACCAAAGTGCCACTGGCACAGTGAGGGAAACACCATAGCCATATTCCTCCTCATGCAACTTCAGAACAGTCTCTGAACTGTGCCAACCAGCATCAGTGAAAAGATTGATCTGTATCTTATTTTGTAACACAAAGTTGGCGAATATCTAGTAGTACATATGCTATTGCAGAAAAGGAAGGAAAGAAGGAAGGAAGGGAGGGAGTGAGGGAGTGAGGGAGTGAGGGAGGGAGGGAGGAATGGAGGGAGAGAGGGAGGAGGGAAGGAAGGAAAGAAGGAAGGAAGGAAAACAAACGCATCTGAACTGAGATGTCAGAAAAAAATAGCAGAAGTAGCAAAAATGAGACACCTGCCTACCTCAAAAAAAGAAAGAAAAGAAAGAAAGAAAGAAAGAAACAAAGAAAGAAATGCAAACTGTGATGCCAGCAAAAATAACAGAAGCAGCAAAAATGAGACACCTGCCTACACATCTGACCATCCATGTTTAAATCCAGAACTCTGGTTTCAAGAGATTCTGCAAAATTTGGGGATTTTGGTTTATTTTTGTTTGAACATTTCTAGCATCTGCACTATGAGAAGACACTGTAGAAGGAAAATGAAACAGATATTGAGCTTCAATTTAGCCTATATGTCTATTCTTCTCATAGTTATTTGATTTCTGTATTATACAGTATTGGCATAGGTATATTTTACTGAAATCCCAAATAATAGTGGCTTAAGCAAGACAGAAGTTTATTCCTTTCTTGTAAAAGTGTGATCTGGTAAAAAAGGCTCTAATTTGAGAAAACACCAAGGACACAGGTTTCTTTACTTTTTATCTTGGCTGTCCCTGCAGGTTCCAGATGACTCACCTCTGTGTCCAACAGGGAGAAGACACTTTCTCACCTTCTAGAGCACAACTGGATTTTGCACATATCATTTCTGTTCGTGTTCCCTTGACCCGACCTTTGCATGTGGCTCTAACTAATTGCAAGGGTGACTGAGAAATCCTTTCTTCTGGGCAACCCTGTGATGACTACAAATTCGAATACTAAGGAAGATGGGAAGAATAGATATTAAGAGATACTAGCACCCTCCGACATAGCATCCTTGACTTCCATCTTTATACCACACATCCAACCCATCAAAAATTTTGATGACTGTACCTTTAAATTATGTCCAGAATCTAACCACTTCTCACCACCCCTATGGCTATCATGTTAGTCTAACTAACTACAGTCTCTCTCTGGGTTTTTGCAGTAACTTCCTCAGCGGTCTACCTGCTTTTTCCCTTACCCATCCAACCACATCTAGTCATGCTTGACAAAACAGCAGGTATTACCTTTGAGGATATAAATCAGATGATGTTACTCTTGTCTAAATTCTCCAGTGGTTTTCCATTTGACTCCAAGGATAAGGCAGCATCCTCGAATTCTCCAATGTGATGTGGCCCCTATTACCTCACTACCTCTTTATGTGCTACTTCTTTTTTCCATGCTCTTTCTATTCCAATCACAGTGACTTTCTTGCTACTCCTTGAACATGCTAGGCAAAACCCCGGCCTGTTCCCTTGCACTTCCTATTTTCTCTGCCAGAAAGATCCTTCCCTGTTTATCTTCATAGCTTATTCTTTTAATTTTTGTCAGTTTTCTTCCTAAGGTACATTCCAATTGGGATTCCCTTCTTCATATGAGAATCCTTGTTTGCCTTACCCTTGCCAACAATGGTTATTATTGTTCTTTTCTATCTTTTCTATTGAAATTATCTCTTTAAAATGAAAAGATACATCAGCTGCATTTTAAAAATTGTAACTGAATTTAGTTTTAATTGTTTTCATACTTTTTTTCCACTTTTAGGTTGAATCTGATGCAGCACAGAACTATACTGTCTTCTACTCAATAAGTGGACGTGGAGTTGATCAAGAACCTTTAAATTTGTTTTATATAGAAAGAGACACTGGAAATCTATTTTGCACTCAGCCTGTGGATCGTGAAGAATATGATGTTTTTGATGTAGGACTTTTATTGATATGCCTGACTTTAAATTATTAAACTATGTTTCTTCTGATGCTTACTCCAGCTACTCTTTCCTGTCTCCTTGCACTCCCTTCTTAGAGGGTATCTTAGAATCAAGGGGAAATAGAATGTGCAACATTTTGGAATACTTGGTCAGCTCTTTGTCTCAACTGCTGTTAGGTAAGCCTGAAATGAAGCAAAGAGGTTCAATACTGGAATGTAAATTTCAATGTATTTAGATGTAAATGTCAGTAAATTTCCAAACAGTTGGTTTTGCTTATGAGATAATCTCTCTCTCTTTCTCACTGGTTACTGGCACCTTTTCCTCACTTCAAGGCATGTCTACAGTTGATTGGAAGAATCTTCTTTCTATACTGCTCTTACTTCCATTTTTGCCTTTTTTCCACACAGATGATTATTTGATCACATCTGAGAACTACATAAGAAAGTGAAAGTGGGAGACCAAACTCAAATAAGGGTTAATAAGCCAGTATTCTGATCTAGATGAGCTTATAGTCAATGGGAAATAACTCAGATAATTTTCAGTATAATATGGTAAACGCTGGGAGGTCATGTGTCATTCCTGTGATTCTGATGGAATGATTATTGGAAAGAGAGATTCTGTTCCTACAAAAAGAGAGAAGAGATGCTGTGTAAACAAACATGACTGATGTCCCCCACGTGACATGCTCTGCATTTGCTTAGAAAATTTTCAATTCAGTGTTGTAATCACATGTTGAATAGAAATACATTCTATTTGACATTACATTGCCTTTAATCAGCAATGGGGAAATTAGTGCATGTATTTCGTCAGAAAAATTCTTACAAATATGTGGTCTATTAGGTAAAATAATAACAGCTCAGTAGTTACAAATTGGGCATTGCTGCTTTATTTAGATAATGTAGTAGGAATTTTTCCCATTGCAGTGAGTTTAATTGTTCTCTCCAGCATAATTTTCTGATTACAGAGATAATTTATATTCACATTTAATTCCTCAGTCTAATGGACAGAGTCAGCCCCGACTTCACTGTACTCTGACCTCGGTTTTATTTGCGATAGCCATTTCCACCACATACTGGATGATCTTCGCAGTAAAGTGTTTCTCCATTTGGTGCTTTGATAATTAAAAACCTAGTGAATACAAAAACTTCAAAGTAGTTTATTATTGAAAAGATTTCAAAGCAGGTAGTAGAGAAAGCATCTTATTCTGTCTTGCCAGAATCTGATATTAATGGAACTTTCTTCTTGCTGTTTTGCAGTTGATTGCTTATGCGTCAACTGCAGATGGATATTCAGCAGATCTGCCTCTCCCACTACCCATCAGAGTAGAAGATGAAAATGACAACCACCCTGTTTTCACAGAAGCAATTTATAATTTTGAAGTTTCAGAAAGTAGTAGACTTGGTAAGTCTGTTTTTAAGAATAAAAAGAATCATTTTAAACATGTGTGTGTACATTTTAAAAGACATTGAGCTTTTTACACTCAAGGCCAGATCAGCCTGAGATAACGCTGAACTAGTATCTACTTACCAGAAAACACTTAATCCCATCACTTTCAATCAATATGTGCCTTACCCAGATAGTACAGAAGTTTTTGTCGTTGTCAATATGATACTAATTAACTGTAAAGGCAGCTAATAGTTATTCAAGCTCTGTATGATACTTAGTTTATATATTTTATTTCATTTCCTCATTATGTGAGTTTTTCATTATTCTCAACTCCAAGAGAGGACATGCAGGGTGGAATGAACAATAAAACTAAAATCGGTATGGTTTTTTTTTTTTTTTTTGAGCTTTTATTTAGGAAGGTGTTAAATGGTTTCCTCTGAGGGTACAATTTTTTTTATGTTCCTATTCATATTCTCTTCTTTTAAAACTACTACCTCACTACTTCCAATTTAGAATGAATACCAGAATAACTTCAGAGAAACTTACATCAAATGTTCTCCATTCTAAACACTTGCTCTTACCTGTGGAAAACTGAAGTATTTTAGTTTACCTGGCCCTTAAAATGTGGCACTTATGATGGCTTCTGAGACTTGTAATATGGAGAATAACTACTCACAATAAAGTTTAAAGGAGGAGGATTCAGTCATAAAGGATGACTTTGCCAATTTGCTTTTTAAAGTTTTCAGTAGTTGCTTAGATCGTCACTGCAATATTATATCTGCTTTTTCCCTCCATGTTTTCCTTTGTTAACTTGATGTCATAGATGTTAACTTCTATGGTACAGTTTTAAAATTTTTTTAAAATTATTGGTTTGGAGTTTAGGAAACTTAGTTTTGTTTCTTTTTAAATATATTTTACTGTGTATACACTATTGTGTATAGTGAAGGTTTACAACATGATGTTATGGAATACACACAGATAATAAAATGGCCACTATAGCATAGAAAACATAGTTTTTAATGTAGGGTCTGTTACTAACTCACTGTGGAAACTTATGGAAGTCCCTCTGAGGTTTCTTACATGTAAAATGAGCTCATTACATTAGATGACCTATAATGGTTTTAGCCTTACAATTCTATGACATTACATTGACATTATATTGCCTTTAATTAATTAGCAATGGGGTATGCTTTCCCTTTTTCCAAAAGGGGTAATTGGTTTCAGGCTTTCTTGAGGATTCTGTTCTCTTCCATAGTAACAGAGAAAAATAAAGGACAAACACTTTGATGCGCAGCTTAACCCAAGGTACTTTAAGCACATTTTATCAGTAGGTTCAGATCAGTTGAGGCTGTGATACTAAACTGGTTTATTAGAACAAATCAAATCAGGAAGTAGCAAAAAGAGTATAGAAAGGAGAGGCTGGACTACTAAAGGTCAATCGATCATCTATATTATTACTGCATACCCCTAATCAGTCTTGATTTGGCTATCAATCAAAAGTCCAATTTTTAAAAAATCTGATTATTAAGGACACATGCTTTATTCCTCCAGCTAGGTTTGTTATTGAAATATGTGCAGATATGTATTCAAATTATTTTTGACTGCCATTTAACTAATTTCTTTAGTAATTTATGATCAAATGTGTTAAACTGTGAGCAAAACAAAAGTATACCTTCATTTTCAGCATCAGAGTGTTTTGTGTGATAAATTTGAAGTTATCTTCATCAGTCCTATCTAAAGATGAAATAATACTCTGGTAATAAATACATTTTAAATTAGGTTTCCACCATCATTGTTAGCATTTTAAGAATTTTGAAAATATATTTAGCAATTCTGAAAATTAAAGGCTCTTTCATTTTTTAATGTGTAGGTACTACAGTGGGCGTGGTTTGTGCCACAGACAGAGATGAACCGGACACAATGCACACGCGCCTGAAATACAGCATTTTGCAGCAGACACCAAGATCGCCTGGGCTGTTTTCTGTGCATCCCAGCACAGGTGTAATCACCACAGTCTCTCATTATTTGGACAGAGAGGTAGCTCTCACACTCCGTAGAATTTCATTTCGCTGAGGATTACGCTTCCCTCCCCCATTTATTATAACTTGCTATCCTGTGGATTAATAGTTTAATTTTATTTTAGGCATAAGACAGTAAGAATTCCTAACATTTTTTCTGTTTTTTTTAAAAAATATTATTTCTATTTCCTTATGTTAGAGTAGCCATAAGGACTAGAAATGCAGATCAATTGGCATTTAGAAGGGATGAGAAAAGAAAAAATTTCATTAAAAATTTTTTTTTTCTTATGTGTGGCTAGTTGGTTCCAATTCAGCAAAGGTCTCAATTTTCTTGTAGGACAATCAGTTTTGCTTGTTCTATGCGTGTAGATCATGCCCTGATTTCTACTTTAATTATTATAGCTATATATTTTTTTTTAGTGGGAAAAGGATTAGTTGAAATAAAATGGATGGATTATTAGAAATATGTAACACTTTTTTGGATGATAGTAATAACATATTGTCATGTATCTAGTACTTTATATATTGAACTTCTTAATGCATACTTTTATTTGCCCTTTAGAATATTTTTGTTTGACTAGATAGGTGTTATATCCAATCTGTAAAGGAAAAATGTGACAGAAACCTTGATTGACTTGCTCAAGTCAAATTATTGCACTGAATCTTATCTTTAGTTTTTATTGTTCTATTTTGTCAGCAATCATGCATTATTGACTAAGGCAGATGAATCAATTTTATATGCACAAAACAGCTTTATTAGAATAGTTCAATGTTTCCCACTACAACTAGAATACCTTATACAGAAGAGTCAATATCACTGGAAAATATAAGGAAGAAATCAATGGGATTTGATGACAAAGAAACAGGGAGGGATGGTGGGAATCCCTGAGAAGTAGTACAAACGTTTTAATTATCGTTCTTTTTATTTTCTGTGGGGCTGGAGCATTTTATGTTATAGATAAAATACATAAGGATAGTAATAAGTGGGAAAGTTTTAAGGAGAAAATCCAAATGTGCTTTTGTGTCTGTGGAGTATGTAGAGATGATGTGGTAATCAAGTGAATAATCGAAACTTTGCAAGTTAACAGATTTTAGTCATCACATTTTTAAAAATGAAGTTTAGAAAAATTAAATTTAGGGGTCTACAACTTGTAAGACACAGTTTTAGGATTAAACCCAGGTCTGCTACTTTCCTGATGAAGAAAAAATCTACCAGGATTTTGTGGGCAATAACCATGGAGCATTGAGGGGAACAACATGAGAAGTAAAAATCATGGGAGATTAAAAAAAATGAATTTAGAGGAAGATAAACAGAATATCAGGGATTCTTAAAGCATATGGGAAGAGCATTTTAAGTTGGGAATATTGGTTTACTTTCTCTGTTTGTTTTTTTTTTTTTTTTTTGAGAGGGGGTCTCGCTCTGTTGCCCAGGCTGAAGTGCAATGGCACAATCATGGTGTACTGCAACCTCTACCTCCTGGGCTCAAACAATCCTCCCACCTCAGCCTCCTGTGTAGCTGGGATTACAGGACGCACATGGTCCTGTAAAAAAAAAATGGCTTTTTTTCAATTGTTTGTGGAGACAGGGTTTTGCCATGCTGCCCACGTTGGTCTAGACTCTTGTGCTCAAGCAATAAGCCTGCCTCAGCCTCCCAAAGTGTTGGAATTTACAGGCGTGAGCCATGGCCAGAATATTCATTTTCAGTATGGAAGGGAGTTCAAGTAAAATAAAGACTGAGGGAAGAGACAGAAGGAAACAAAAAATGAAGAAAAATAAAAGAATAAAAACCTGACTAAAGAATAGTAAGATAAAAGAAGAAGGCCACAAAGATGATTGTACCACAAATTAATGACTTCAATTCACTATCACCACACCATCTGCAAAATTTCATTGCCAAATCTAACAGCAACCTTAAGTCCCTGTCTATTGCTGACACTTGTTAACACTCTCTCTTCCCTTAGATTTCTGGTCTTCCTCCTGCTTCTGTGATCTTTCCTTTTTAGTGGCCTTTGCATAGTCTTCTTATTCCCTTCGTGGTAGGAATGCTGTAGGTCCTTATATCCTAGGCTCTTCTCATCTGCAACCTCTCCTGAATTGAATAATCTGATTCCTGCCATAATTTCAACCATCATGTACATACTGATGACTTCTGGATAGACATTTCTGGCCATGATCTCTTTGGTACATATGAAGCCATATATCCAGGTGTCTTTTGGACTTTACTCCTTAGATTTCCTTTTGGCACATAAGATTCAACATACGCAAAACAAAACTCAGTATTTCTACCCCTTTGCCAACCTCAGTAGTGTTTACTTCCTCTGAGAATTGTTCTCCTGAATTTCCTGTATTGTTTGGTGGTGCCCCCGTCTTCTTATCTCTCCAAATGGGACACCTGAAAATCATTCTCGATCCCTTCTTTCTCTCTTGATTTGTATATTGAATTTACTGTTAAGTCCTACTCCATTTTAACTCCCAAGTAACTTTCCTGCCATCCTTTCTCTTTGTCCTCATTGCTACTGCCTCAGATTTGGGACACCTGCCCTATTTATTTATTTGTTTGTTGTTTAGAGAAGAGATCTTGCTCTGTCGCTCAGGCTTTAATGCTGTGGTGTGATCATAACTCACTGTTACCTCAAACTTCCACTCAAGGGTCCATCCACTTCAGCTTCTCAAGTAGCTTGGGAGTACAGACACATCACCGTGCCCAGCTAAACTTTTATTTTTTTGTAGAGATGAGCTATATTGCCCAGGCCTGAGTCAAACTCGTGGCCTCAAGTGATCCTTCTACATTGGCCTCCCAAAGTGCTGGGATTACAGGCGTCAGCCACTGTGCTGGCCCAAGCCATCTGTTTTAGATGATTGCTGCAGGCGAGTTTCAACTGATTGCTTAGATTTTTCAGCTTACTCCAAATTATGCCAAAACTTCCTTAAGAATATATTTTTTAAACACTCAAATGTTCTGGCCGGGCGTGGTGTCTCGTGTCTGTAATCCCAGCACTTTGGGAGGCCAACGCGGGTGAATCATGAGGTCAAGAGCTTGAGACCAGCCTGGCCAACATGGTGAAACCCCGACTCTACAAAAATACAAAAAATTAGCTGGGCGTTGTGGTGGGCACCTATAATCCTAGCTACTAGGGAGGCTGAGGCAGGAGAATCATTTGAACTCAGGGGACAGAGGTTGCAGTGAGCCGAGATGACGCCACTCTACTCCAGCCTGGGTGACAGTGTGAGACTATCTCAAAACAAAACAAAACTAAACTAAACCAAACTAAAATGTTCTTATTTTGTGTTGCCCTTACGACTTCCAAAAACCTTTTAGCTATTACCTGTTACTTAAAGCATAAGTACTATTTCTGAGTAAGGGTCTTTGTAATTTATTATTTATTTATTTA